CTTTATTTAAAAAAAACCGGCCAAGTGCGTGTCGGACTCACGCACAAAGGGTTCCGTACCATTGATTTATGTTTTTTTTTTTAATTTAAGTTATTTGTATGAAAGATTACGCGGTAATAAGTTTTTTACGATTTACGAGGTATTAAAAAAAACTACTTACTAGATCTCGTTCAAAACAATTTTCGTTGGTAGTTTTTATAGAAATGTATATCATATGATTTTTTTAGATTTTTCATTTTCTTATTTTAGAAGTTAGAGGGGGGGGACAAACTATTTCCACTTTGGAAGCGTCTGTCACGCAAACTATTCGGTTTAGAAAAAAATATTTTAGAAACCTCGATATCATTTTTGAAGACCTATCCATAGATACCCCACACGTATGTGTTTGATGAAAAAAAAATTTTGAGTTTCAGTTCTAAGTAATGGCGAATTGGGGAGCCCCCAATATTTATTTATTTTTTTATTTTTGCATCAAAATCTTAATGCGGTTCACAGAATACATCTACTTACCAAGTTTCAACAGTATAGCTCTTATAGTTTCGGAAAAAAATGCCTGTGACATACGGACGGAAACAGACAGACATGACGGATCTATAAGGGTTCCGTTTTTTGCCATTTGGCTACGGAACCCTAAAAAGACATTTATTTAGATTTTTTCCCCGAAAAGATAATAAAAAGTTGCAATAAGTGAATTATATTAGTTGAAACCATTACTTCAAGACAACATATTATCAGCTGGTGCATGGAAGAAATGGCAAAAAAAACTCAGTCAACATTTCCAATTTTGATTCAATAGCCTCGATATAACTTGCCCTACCTCCACTTTAAGATCGATTGGTGGTAAGAAGCGGTGAAAGAAACTCAGTCAACATTCACATTTTTTCCAATTTAAGTAAGTAATCTTGTTTAAAATTCACGGTGACTCATTCGTAATACTATTTCGCGAATGCAATACTCACTAATTTGAATACTCTCCAAACAGGCTCCCTTAAAACACAGCGGAAACCTAAGAGATTATTAAAAACTCGGCTAATTGCCGCACCCTATCGGCCACTGTATTTAATCCCCAATATGGCTGCACTAAACAAGTACTGATAGAAGGGAGCAGACCGAGGGTCAGATCAAAGGGAACGGACAAATTAATTTTTGGAAGGCTTTGATCTGTATGCAAATATTTCGTGACACCCAAAGTAGTCATTAAGTTCTCAACACGTCTTTGTTACATTGGAATAAGGTTGTATTGTCACCTTTTTGGTCACTTTGGATGACATTCGACAGCACATGAGACTATGTTTGTTGCAGTATAGCACTTATTGCAACATTAAAGGGTATTTATTTGGACGAGCTGTTGACCGTATGCAATTTTATCTTTGGCAACGAAATGTCCACTCCAAAATACTAACAACATTTTGAAATGACCACTCCAAAACATACGACTAATAACATAGAAGGCTGTGTCTGTGTATGTCAAAAAGTAGGGGACATTACAGGGACAGTTTAAGGCTGGGCTGCACCACCTAACTTTAACAGTAACTATAACGATAACCGGTGTTTTTTGTATGGAGTTTGATGGACTTTTGACGTTTGTCAAAGTTAAAGTAAGATGGTGCAACCCAGCCTAAGTGTTAACCGGACCTTTTCATGGTGAGAGTGAATAGGCACTTACAGGACAGGCTTATGTAACATCTTATACTGTATCTCACTTAACATCAGGTTTCATTACAGTCAAATAACTGCCTTGCCTTGCAGGACCGGTCGTTGTGGAAGTCCTTGGAGGTGGCCTTTATCCAGAAGTGGACGTTATTTGGCTGAAACGAACGAAAAAACTAGCAACATTACTACCCCCAATCTTCCTATGGATGTCGTAAAGTCCACTGAGGATCAAAAAACAAACGTCAGGGTCATCAGGCCTCGACAGCTAGTCTGGTAAGGTCATCAGGCTTGTCACAGGCCTGGTGATCATAGGAAGTGTCAGCCAAAAGACATTGCTTCTGCAGTGGAGGCTAACTTACCTGATGATGTTGTAGAGATAGGTATTAGAGTTATTAAATTATGTTTCTGATTCAGATTTTTATTGCAAGTCACAAGATACAAGTTGTGTCACATAGTATGTAAGGTAAAAAAGGTATACATACAAGTAACGTCCTGCAAGGGCATTGCAAACATAGTTAACATTTTTTTTATTCTGTGACAAGACTGATTTACTTTCCATAATAAGTAGTTTACTACACCTTACATATTGAGCGATTTAAAAGAGACAGGCAACTATTTTTTTTATTTCTAACACCTATGTTTCACAAATAAACATTTTTGATTTGATTTTATTTTATTTGAACTATTTCCTTTGCATATTTATTCAAAACACCTATGCATTACAAAGGCTATCCTCACCAAACACCCCTATCACCTATCAAATCGGACGGGGGTGCATCAATCAATACCTGTTACAACTAATAGAGGGGCCCATGGTGCTTATTACAACGGCGTAAGAGCTGATTGATCAGGATAGTCGAGAAGCAAATTGTTATGAAGTAGACAGGTGGAATTATTAGTCGGCCGTTTGGTGTAGTGGTTTGAAACGGACTACTATTCCGGAGCTAGCGGGTTCGATTCCCGCACAGTACAAACATTTGTGTGGATGAACATATTTGTTTGTATTGGATTGGGTGTTCTCTATGTATAATAAGTATGTATTTACAAAAAAAAAGTATTTAAGTATTTTATCCGTTGTCTAGTGCCCATAGTACAAGCTTTGCTTAGTTTGGGACTAGAAGCGCAGTGTAAAATGTCCAAGGATATTTACTACGCAATTATAGTGCTTTTTAACCGACTTCAAAAAAAGGAGGAGGTTCTCAATTCGAGTGTATGTTTTTGTAGTTTTAGTGGTTCTGGTCTTCAGATAGTTTAACTGGTATTTCATCTGGCTTCACCTGCCATATATCTCTATCATGTAGAACTAAAAGTGTTTTAACGAATGTCTCTAATTTTATTTTAGGGCTCAATTAGATTCGAATATAAGTTACAATGGTATATTTTCCATCCACCTAGCTAGACCCGATAGCTAAAAATATTGTACCTAGCTGCGTTAAAGCTATCCTAGCAGAATCCATTTTTCTTAAATACTGCTGAAACGGCTGAAGGCTTACACCAGATAGGGTAAATGTGCCCGAAACTAGCCCATGTTAACATGGGCATATAAATGGTATAGTGAAGTCAGAAAATTGATATCTTCATTTTAATCATTTTAATTTTCATACAAATCGGATTTTATAAAATTTATTTTGTATGAAAATTAAAAAAATTAAAATGATATCAAATTTCTGACTTTACCATACCATTTATATGCCCATGTTAACATGGGCTAGTGTCGGCTCATATACCCATTTACCTAACACCCTGTATAGATTTTTGAAAGGACACAACATTTTGCTGCGATAACGCACATATTGGTAATTTGTATCGCACAAATTATTGATTGATAGTCTAGTAAGTTAATAATATCTTTAAATTGGATATCCATTAATAGACTCACCTACCCAATAATTATTTTTTAAACAACGCTCATTCAAATCAAATCAAAACTTATTATGCACAAACACTTTCCTTCGCACCTGTACGAATTTAATTATTGCAGCCCCAATATGCATTGTCTACTGATCTCCCTGCAATTTCAACCGTATCCCCTTATGATAGAGTCCAAAGTAACTACATTATTAAAATTCAATTGAAACGCAAAGGGATGAAAAGTAGTAGTGTATTTTTGGACGGATGAATAATTATAAGCTTGTGTTGCCATGGCAACGTGTAAACAATACAACTGAACGTCAAGCTTTACACTGTGTTCTTATACAGTTGTAATACGATTGATTATACAGTAAAAAAATTGCTGTACTAAAATAGGCTACCACTTTAAATAACTAGAAAAGTTTTGGCCCGTGGATTTCTTCGTATGTTTTGGTCCGCAAAGAACGTCAAAAACGCGTAAAACGTTGTATCACGACTTAAAATTTTCAACTAAAGTCGGATTCTTTAGAAATTTCCCTATATGTAAACAAATATGGCCAACTGACATTAAAACATTTTTAATCTGTGCCCTAGTGAGGCGACAAAACCTCTCGTTAATCGCGGATTGAAATTATTGTAGTACTTACGTACCTATAGAAAGAATTTATAATACTTTATAAAGCAATGCATTAAACAATTAGCAGTACATTCAATGAAGAAAAAATACATTGTTGATTAAGACCCTATTTAAATATATTTAAATGCAACCAGTAATAAAAATTATTGAATAATTGAAATAAAATCGATTAAATTTACCGACTATTGTCTATGACTTACAGGTTACAACACTGATGTGTCAGAGACAACATGGAGATAACAAATAATTTTAAACTTCAAGTCAATTTGACAAGTCTCACAAATTTTCATCGTCCACATATTTTGCTAAAATAATTTGTTTAAAGATTGATTCCAAACTTGTATAATCGTGAGAATAAAGTTGGTTTCATGGGCTTGTGAAATAATGTGTATGATATTATGAACACGTAAGTGATTATGGTGTAATTGTGTGCAGAAGTGTTTGTTTACATATAAGGAAATTTCTAAAGAATTTAGGTATAAACGTATTCATAAAAGTTATCATCATCAATTTTGTATTAAAGGTTAAAATGAATTTTTAGATCTTTTAAGTTAAAAAATGATAGGTTACCTTAACTTGCATCGCCCATTTCAGCTCCTTTTAAATTTTTCTTTTATTTTTTGATAGAACATCGACTCTTTTCGAAGTAGGACTGCCAGTCATTGGACACTTAAGAAAGTAATTGGACAGTTATTTACTGAATTAAAAATAGTATTTCTATTTCAACAACTGAGAGATTCCGACTGATGGAGATAAAAGGGCGTTTACCCTATTTCATGTTATTTATTTATTCTTTTTATATGTTATTTGTGTGGTAAAATTTAATAACGGCAAAAAATGAAATTGAAACACAAAAGTAATTAAAAAATACTTTATTTGCTTCCTTATTCTAGTCCTATCTAAAAATATAATCGTTATTTCGCCGTATGATTCCCCACTTCGCACCTGAACGTCTCGTTTCCTGAAACAAAATATAAATAAATAATTTTATTGTTCTAAGTCACACAAGGTGGACCGACGACCTCATAAAAGTAGCCGGAAGGCGCTGGATGTAGGCTGCAGCCAACCGGTCATTATGGAAGTCGTTGCGGGAGGCCTGTGTTCAACAGTGGACGTCCTATAGAAATGATGATGATGATGATAAAGTCGCAATGAGGACTGTTTTTTATACTTAACAGTTGGCACTACTGGCGAATGACAGGACCTTACTCTATTAGTGGCGCCAACTGGTGAATGCAAGTACGATAGTCCCACCGCTTCAGCGCTCACCAGTTGGCGCCAGTATTAGCCACTAGCCAGTGACAGGACTTTGCACTATAGTGGCGCCAACTGGTGGCAAATACGTCAGTTATTAGACAGTCAACAACACATCTGACTATACATTTTTGTTTGCAAAATAGCATTTATTACAACTAAATAACATAATATGCGAGTGTTAAAAGTATTTTTTTACCCCTGGGCCACATTTTAGCCAAGTATTCGCGCATATATTTCGATGCTTCTATGCATAATCTCAAGGTTTTGGTCCGCTACAGCCGCTACATTTTATCGCGAATTCGCGAATCGCTATGTGTGTGGCCCAGGAGTAATAAGTCTTCTAAAAAGCGCTTTTACACCGATCTGCTGTCAACCGTACTATGCTGAGTAGATGTCGGACAAATATAAGCAAATAGACACATAATATGGATATAATAATAATAATATTATTACACAAACATGCACTACAAACATGAAGCCAAATTCTGAACATTCGCATTTGCACCTATCGCGATTCGAACTTGCAACTGCAACTGAATTTTCAATCCACATGCTAATATGTGCCACGTAAATACCTAAATAGAAATAATAATACCATGCAAAGCATCCTTTAAAGAAAAGAAACTAATAATAACAAAAAAAGAGAAAGAAAAAATTACGATAAAAATACTTATCTCCGCTATACTTTTGCTTCAATACTTCAGAATAGACTTTTGTAGTATATTTTAACATCTTTACATTGTCACCATACAATATATTAATTTTATTAAACTCTTCGTCACAAGTCACAACCTTTTTAAATAATATGGTATGTAATTAATTGACATATTTTTTAAGAGTGTCAAGACGCAAGTGTCCCATAACTTTTGTAGGGCAGCCCAACTATGACGCCAATTTTTTAGAAGGCTTGGACGGACGTCACTTTTTCGATAACTCAATAAACTTTTAGTAGATTTGTAAGTCTTATTTTACAATAAATTAAGAACGAATCAAATTATCAGGGCTAGAATTTCGCATTCTTTTAGACTAGTCGTGTCTTCGAATTCAAGGCAAAAACCACCCAATTTTGAAAACACCCCAAAGCCGAGAAACATCTTATAAGCAAGCTCACTCCATCATAAGCATTTGCACCCTTCGTGAGTTTGTCGTGATTCAAGAGTATAAACAGAAAGCACCAAAAAACGAAAAACAAGAACAAACAATAGCCGTGCTAATAAACGAAAAGTTGCTATGTTACAAGGCAAGGCCTTCCTTCTAAAAAAATATTTTTTTAACCAATCAAGCAGTAAACTCAAAGTTTTATAAATGTGGTCGGTGCATTTAGAACAATCAATAGCGTTTGAAAATGTATAAAACATTAAAAATTTGTTATTATTTTTATAGTGATACAACTACTCGTATCACTAAATGTAAGTACATACGTGCATAAAATATGTTATATTAATGTAGCATAAATGAGCGAAGCGTAGCATAAACAAGTCTTGCAAAAAACACAAATCACTCGCAAGCAGAGGGTACCATGTTGAAAGTACAGACTCCAAATAAGAATAATAGGAGTTGCGGGCCAAGCGCTAAAATGTGTGCAGACTGGAAATTATGTAAAACTGCATCAGTTATGCGATCTAAGCTAAACTAACTTACATCCGTATTCACAAACGATGCTTGCTTAAGTGAAGCAGCAACGCTATGCGAAGTCGAGCTCTGTGATTGGTTCGCACTCACTCAAGTATTGTCTATAAATAGGTTTTTGGTACCCTGTGCGTCCACGCGCATTGTGAGACGTCATTGTAATGTTTGTGAATTAGCTTAGCCCTTGGTCTGCAACTTGCATAAGAGAATAAGAGTAACTTAATTCGATTTTCATTCTTATTCTCAAATGCATAAATTTCTTACCTTTATGAGTGGCTACGTGCTGCCTCAACGCCTTGATGCTGAAGAAACGCTCGTCGCACACGCGGCAGCGGTAATGGTAGTCCACCACCTGAGGGCAGATACAAAGACGTTACTCATCATCATTGTATACAGGGTGTTAGGTAAATGGGTATATGAGCCGACACTAGCCCATGTTAACATGGGCATATAAATGGTACGGTGAAGTCAGAAATTTGATATCACAATTTTATTTTTTTAAATTTTTATACAAAATAAATTTTATAAAATCCGATTTCTATGAAAATTAAAATAATTAAAATGAAGATATCAATTTTCTGACTTCACCATACCGTTTATATGTCCATGTTAACATGGGCTAGTGTCGGCTCATATATCCATTTACCTAACACTCTGTAGAATAGAACCAAATTGTATTCATTGCGGGTCCAAAGTCAGTTTAACTTTTCCCGGGACAAACTTGACCTTCACTGGTTGGGTTTTTATGGCGGTCAAGCTGTAGATCCTGGATACACAGGAGTTACAGCAGTGGGAACGAGGTAGGAATAGTTCCTGTCGTGGTGAACCCACTCCTAATGCTCAATTTTACCATTAAAGCTCAAAAGAAGAGGCACGTGACGTCAAGGAGTGCTACGTGTAGCACATTGTAACGTCACGCGGAACTTCAACGCACCATAACTTCGTGATTACTTGTTTGATTGACAAATAAAAATATAGGTGTCTAATGTTTTTTGAATTTAGTTTAATTTAGGGACTAAAGTATTTTTTAGAAAACTTCCCTACTTTATTTTCTAATAATTTTTAAATTACAAAAACATACAATATTAAAGTTACAATATGACAACAGATGGCGCTGGATATACTTTACTCTGCGCAAACAATTTTTTCGCACATTTTTTGTTTTTTCAAAAAAAGATATTAGTAATTTGTTTAAAATAAACAACTTGAAAACATTATACGATTTTTTATTTAAAATTTAGTTTGAGAAGCGACTCAATTCGCTAAAAATTTTTAATAACGATTAGTAATTCGTATTGCAATTTAATTATGACGTACCTTGGCCAGCGCGGCGGCGATTTCCTTCGCACGTCTTCGAACATCAGGCGCGTTGTGCGCGCGCACGTGTGTTAACAGGTTATACACGCTGACGCTGCCGCGACCGCAGATAGGGCACTTTAACGCCTCTGAAAATGATAATAATGGGCTTCTGAATATAAATAATCTAGGCAAGATGTTTGAAAGAAAAAAAAATTTGGTTACAAACAATAGAAAATTATTGCACTCAGTTTACTACATTGGTCTCTGCTGAGTATAAGGCCATCATACTCGTAGCACAGGGATCACGTCATGATGGCCACTGATATACAGCAGACACCATGAGAGACCCACAGCGAACTCATAACATGATAAAAAAACATTATTTTGGGAGCTGAAAAAAAACAAACTAATCTGTATAAATAAAAATTAATTGCTGTTCGTTAGTCTGATTAAAACTCGAGAACGACTGGGCCCGATTGAGCTGATTTTGGTTTTAAAATGTTTGTCGTAGTCCAGGGTAGGTCTAAACGGTGAGCAAATAAGGAAAAAATTGCGATGGCTTATTTATTGCCTTTAAGGCGGAACAGAGTTCGCCGGGTCAGCTAGTTAAGAATAAAAAAACTAAATAATCTCATCTATTTGGCTACTGATTAGCTCAGTGGTTATATTTGAAACTTGATTTGCCAAAGAGATACAATTTATGTTCCACCTCCTGAGATAAATATGTAGTTGATTTACCTTTATACAATTCGTGGGTCGAATCACGGAAAGGCGTAACTGATTTTAATCAAATTTACAGGAGCGACGTTTAAACATAATTTGAAATATGGAAAAATGCATTTCGGGCCCTTATTACCTGTCAATACTGGCTTCCTGAAAAATAATGAGGGTTTTCGCGTATGAAAATACCGCCAGATGGCAATACGTAGACGCGAGGTCCAAATGCTGCATGATTGGTTATTTTTGACATGACATTGACAGATATGTCAAAATCCACCAATCACGCAGCAGTCAGACCCCACATCCACGTCCCGCCATCTAGCGGATCTTTCATACGCGAAAACCCTCATTCAGTTACGATCTTTTGTGAGGTTATAAAATGCATGTTTTTAATAGCATGGTGTGTTTAACTCAATATCGCCATTTAGTTAGAAGACCCATGAATTGTTAGAACAAATTTTTCAAGATTTCAATAAAAATTAAATTAATTAACATTATTTCAATTATCGTAGCCTAACGTGAACAATGAACATAGCATATTAACATAACTTACTGTCTTCGTTCTTCTTGGCGCCGCGCCACGAAGTCTGATAGCAGGGCGCGCACACCTTACACACCACGATCTCCTTCAGAGACTTCTTGGGCTCATCCTCGCCTTCAGCTGTGACTTTGTTCGGACTGCAATACAAACGTGTGTGTTACTAACTGTGCCTGCGGCTTTAGTCCAGTCAATAAAGCATTATAGATGGAAAACTGTAGAACACAATTTCTGACTTCAGGACTTTATTTAGACTAGTTAGGAGGTGAACATAGCAAAAGTCCCCGCCCTTAGCCCTTGAGCCGGCGGGGAGAGGGGGGTTTAAAGGTGCCACTTTTCGGTTTTTCGCTTAATCCTCGGAAACTATGCGTCCTAGTGACATGACTACTATGAACCAAAAAAAGCATATTCAATTTGCTACAGATGAGATTGACAAGTTTTTCTATAAATTGTTTAGTTTTCGCGGCATCTGTTCTAGAAGGTCTGTAATATTGGAAATTTTATTTTTGTCTTACATGTTCCCATCAGGAGAAAATCGACTAAATCAACATTGAGCAATCATTCTAGACATGCGGGAGCATGTTAAGCCTAGTTCCAGCGAGGGGACTACACCGTGCGTATATTTAGACGAATCACTTTGAGCCACTTTTGACTCCTCATCACTCAAAAACTACTGTGCATTAACACTTCAAATTTGGCTCATGTGTTGAGACTTGCAAGATATACATCAGTTTCAAATTTCATAAATATGCCTCAAACGGTTCTTTAGATATTGACGTCCAAAAATCTACATGTCTGACCTATAGACCAAATTCTAACCACTTCCAGATGACCTCGAAGGTTCAAATTTGGCATCCAGAAAGGTAGTTATGTAAATACAAAGGAACAAATAAAAAACCAGTAAATTTTAACATTTCACATGTGATAGATAGATAGTAGTGCTCTAAATATCGATTTTTGAACGTCAATACCTAAATAACCGTTTGAGGTATATTTATGAAATTTGAAGCTGATGTACATCTTGCAAGTCTCAATACATGAGCCAAATTTGAAGTGTTAATGCACAGTAGTTTTTGAATGATGAGGAGTCAAAAGTGGGTCTAATTGGTTCGTCTAAATATACGCACGGTGCAGTCCCCTCCATGGAACTAGGCTTAACATGCTCCCGCATGTCTATAGTGTTTGCTCAATATTGATTTAGTCGATTTTCTCCTGAAAGGAACATGTAAGACAACAATAAAATTTCCAATTTTACAGACCTTCTAGAGCAGATGCCGCAAAAACTATACAAGATATAGAAAAACTTGACGGTCTCACCTGTAGCAAACTGAATGAGCTTTTTTTGGTTCATAGTAGTCATGTCACTAGGACGCATAGTTTCCGAGGATTAAGCGAAAAACCGAAGAGTGGTACCTTTAAACCCCCCTCTCCCCGCCGGCTCAAGGGCTAAGGGCGGGGACTTTTGCTATGTTCACCTCCTAACTAGGCTAAATAAAGTCCCGAGGTCAGAAATTGTGTTCCATGGATTTCTCTCTACACCGTCGTTAAGGCATTCATTGACTGGACTACTTTGTATGCGTGAAAATAGTTTGAATGACATTTTTTTTACTGCTCCACCATCCCTGTTGGCTGTATTGTGATGTTTTATAGCTTAAAGCCTATCTCGATAAATGGGTATTAAAAAACACGAAGATAATCTTTCAAATCTGATCAGTGACAACGGGGATTAATGAACTTTTTAGTTCCCTATTCCCCATTATAAGCTCCCAATAGGCGTTAATGGGGAATAGTGAACAAAAAGTTCACTAATCACCGTTGACGGGGATTGTCAACGGGGAATAGTGGAATAAGCCGTCATCAAGCACACATATTTTTTCAAATTGAATTGAATTTTGAAGTGAGATCAAGCACACATTTTTTTTCAAATTGAATTGAATTTTGAAATTGAAGCACGAATTACTCTTAAGCATTATAATCTTACTAATATTATACTATGCGAAAGTAAGTATGGATATCTGGATGATTGTTACTCTTTCACGCAAAAACTACTGAACGGATTTTGATGAAACTTTACAGCATTATTGTTTATAACCCAGAATAACATACAGTCGTGGTCAACTAATTAGGGACGTTATANTAATTTATGATGATCTGTGACAAACTAAAATTCACGGGGATGAAACAGTGGGTAATGTAGTTTAACCCTTCAAGTACCAGAGAATTGAGACACAATAGAAATCAATTTGTTACTGCAGTCTCATGTAATGACTTAGGTTACTTATTTTCTAAGTTATTAAATCAATAACCACTTACTCAGTGAGAAACTTGTAAACAGCCGATACTTTTTCCCGTGGCTTGTAAACGACAAGAACATTTCCATCTTTGTGATCCTCCTTCGTCAATATGGTTTCATTTATATGACGGAACTTGGAAGAATGTTTCGAAATGTGAAACGACTTGAGCATCTTCTTCTCACGGTATTTTGGTAGAATGCTCTGGAAAATCTCAGATTTTTTAACTCCGTCTTCGTTTTCAATGCATATTTTGCTCCACACTGCTGTTTCTTGTTTCCCTGTAACGTGACATAATATTTTTTGGAATCAATATGAGCACTAACAACAAAACAAAAAGAACTATAATTTGTTAACTTTGTAAGCTTTCCTTTAAAAATATAAATCTCTGGTGTGGTCAGGTAAAAAGAAAGTTCAAAATAAACCAGGGATTATCATTTAATCATCACAATTATTGTTATTTTGTATGAAAGTTAAATACTATTCTCATAATAGTTTAGCAAATCCGACTGCCACTTTCTGAAAAACGTAATTCACAATCAGAATACAATATTTTTAGCTACAGAAATTATTCACCACGAACCTGTTTCTTTATGAACCACATTCCGAAGCACGACCGAGCGTGCAGAGCTCTTGACCGCCCCTTTCTCCGGCCGCAGCACAGTGCTGGCCGTCTTGAAGTGCTCCAAACACATGTTATTCCAATTCCTGACCCTTTGCAAATCATTCTTAGAGTTAACAATAGCTCGTACAGGCAGACACAATGGATCATCGTAATCAGGGATCCTGATATCCAGTTTCTTGCGGGCATTTATGTCATTAATGGCTATAGCTCTCTTACCAGTGCTAGTTATGAATGTGTTGACCGGCAAAGAGGTTAATGGTTTCGGACGAGTTTGCTTCTTCGTTGGAATATTCAGAGGTTTCTTCTTGTTTTTCTTAACCTCTATAGCGTGCAGATCCTCGCGGGGATCGTAATCCGAATCGTCGTCATCGTTCCTCTTACGTTTCCGTTTTCGCTCCAATTCTCGTTCCACCAACAAACTTCGGTCTTCAGTGCTTCTGGCGACTTGTTTTAAATGTTTTAAATTGGAAATATTATGCGGTTGCACACACTGCTGGACTATGTCAGCATCTTCATCCAAGTATTCTATCTCACAATCCGCGTCCGACATTTTAATTTAATTTATAAACAATATTGTATAAATGGAAATGATGAGCAGCACCGAAAACCGAAAATATATAAATTTTCTGACATTTCATTTTTGACTACTACTACAGATTAAAAAGTAATTTGAGATTTATACAGCAATCGTTCAAAAATTAAATCCATAGACGAACTCTATGATGGTTATAATCCTCTATGTTTGAAACCCTACAAAAAAAACTGTTTATTTACAAATCTATATTGGTGGCGCTAGCTAGTAACTACTGTTAACCATTGTTAACCTTTATTTTAAATTCTATTTTTATGCATTCAATCACGTCATATTAAAATTGCAGGAAAACCTAAGAGACAGACATAGCCCACAGAATTGCTAAATAAAGGCTAGCAGGTGGGGCACATAGCTCGTATATTAGAGCAGCAGCTGATGGCCTCTGGGGCAGAAAAGTTCTGGAGTGGTGATCACGGGCCGGAAGACGTAGTGTGAGCAGGTGGGCCGTCGATCTAATGAGTGTCGCAAGAGGTGCCTGGATGCGAGCAGCGCAGCGCAAGACTGGTCATCGTGGAAGTCCTTGGTCCGACTTGGCCTTTGTCCAACCAACAGTGACTGTGGACGTCATTTCGCTGAAACGGATGAACATTTCTTTTTCATTGTAAATAAATAAGTTCTAACAAACATTAAAATTAAAATCTCAAAATCGAAATCAGTTATCTTTATTTGTGTAGACTAATTAAATCAGTACCTACTTACAAATCGTCAAATGCTCTTATACATGTCTCATACTTTGATGATAAACATTTGGTAAGTGCTGAGAAGAAGGGCCTCAACAAACTCAGTTACCACTGTCTGCCGGTTTAAAAATATAAAAAAAGTAGGAAGTTACAACGATCAGAAGCAAGTTACTTACTTACCACCATGCGTTCCGAAGGTGGCCTTAAGACTCTCATCTAGCACGAGACCGCGTGGCAGTTTTAAATAATATTTCTTTAGTGCCGTGCTGCTTGCATCTAACTTGCCCTACCTTGTACCTGGAAGATCCAAAACGTGATGATCAAAATTGTTTTCTGATTATGATTAGGTAGGTTTTAGGTGTTAAAGTAATAATAATATAGAAAAAAAAAGTATGAATATTTTTTTTTTTACTTCCTACATAAACATACTTACTTCAGCCTAGAATTTCCCATTGTACTTAATATTGTAATAATGTTGTATGATTTTGTCCTTGAAATATTTAAGTATTACCAAATTAACCGTTAAAATTAGTGTCGGAAATACCAATAACGCAAGAGAACATAATCCCAAAAATGGTAATGTGCGTAGTTTAGTTGTGGCTGTAAAGCTAGTGCTACACGACACGACTATTCATTTGCTTAGGTACATAAAGGGTGTATTTGCAATCAGTGTCCAAATTTTTAGTGGCGACTCAGAATCAGTAACTTAATCGATTTACGTTAAGGAAACATATGT